GAGTTAAAAGTTAAGTCAAGTCAAGTTATAAAAAATTTGACTCATTTAACTTGAGCTGAGTTTCAAGTTAAGCTTGAAATAACTCGAGCTAAATTTGAGCCTAAAGTTAAGAAAACTCGAGCATAAACTTTAGCCTAAAGTTAAGCAAAACTTGAGCTTAAAGTTGAGCTGAAAAATTTAACAAATTTTTTTTAGAAAATGTATAAAAAAAATCGTTCAGATAGAATGGTAAATCATCATTTTATAGAAATTATAAAAAAAATTGTTCCTTTAAAACTATAGTATATTGTTCTTAGAGAATGATAGAGAGAATTATTCCAATAGAATGATAATGCATCATTCTAAAGGAATGATAAAAAGAATCATTCTGATAGAACAATAATACATTATTCTAAAGGAATAATAAAGAGAATCATTTTAATAAAATGATAATGCATTATTCTAAAGAAATAATAGAGAGAATCATTCTGATAGAATGATAATGTATTATTCTAAAAGAATGATAGAGAGAATTATTCTGATAGACCAATAATGCATCGTTCTAAAAGAATGATAGAAAGAATCATTCTGATAGAATGATGAAAGTATCATTCTAAAAAAATGATTTGATTATCATTCTGAAAGAATGATTTATTATTGTTTTTAAGGAACAATTTGATTATCATTCCAAAAGAATGATTGTTCATTCATTATTCTATTAGAATGATTCTTCTATTGTTCCTTTAGAATGATTTATTATTATTCTATTAGAACGATTTTATTTATTATTTCTTTAGAATAATGCATTATTGTTCTATTAGAACAATTCTTTTATCATTCCTTTAGAATAGTATTTTATTATTCTATCAGAACAATTCTTCTATCGTTCCTTTAGAATGATGTTTTATTATTTTATTAGAATGATTTCATTTATCATTTCTTTAGAATGATGTTTTATTATTCTATTGGAACGATTCTTTTCATTGTTCCTTTAGAATAATGCATTATTATTCTATTAGAATAATTTATTTATCATTCCTTTAAAATGATGTTTTATCGTTCTATTAAAACAATTCTTCTATCATTCTTTTAGAATGATTTATTATCATTCTTTTAGAATGATTTATTATCATTCTATCAGAATGATTTTATTTATCATTTCTTTAGAATAATATTTTATCATTTTATCAGAATGATTCTTCTATTATTCCTTTAGTTTATTATTCTATCAGAATGATTTTATTTATTGTTCCTTTAAAATGATATTTTATCATTCTATTGGAATGATTCTTTTCATTATTTCTTTGAATGATACATTATCATTCTATAAGAATGATTTTATTTATCATTCCTTTAAAATGATATTTTATCATTCTATTGAAATGATTCTTCTATTATTTCTTTAGAACGATATATTACCATTATATCAGAATGATTTTATTTATCGTTTCTTTAGAAGATTTTTTTATCATTCCTTTAAAATAATCATTTATTGTTCAATCAGAACGAATAACTCGAGTCAAGTTGAGTTTGACAAAAACTCACTCAACCTGACTCATTCAGAACCCTATACATAATAAGCTGTAAGTGCTATAATTTCTTAGTAAAATAATGTCTTCAAAGCTGTAAAGGCATTTTTATTATATTTTTATATTTTTCTTAATAAAATAACATTTTCAAAGCTGCGAAAATATTTTTACTATATTTTCTAAATAAGAAAAATATTTTTGAAGCTGCAGAAGTGCTTTTTACTATAATTTTCTTAGTAAATAGTATTTGTAAAGCAGCGAATATTCTTTTTACTATAATTTTCTTAATAAAAAAGATATTTCTAAAGTTGAAAAAGCATTTTTACTATTATTTTTTAGTAAAAAAGGTATTTTTGAAGCTACAAAGATGCTTTTTACTATTATTTTCTTAGTAAATACCACATTTGAAGCTTTAAAGATAACTTTACTATTGATTTGAATAAATCAAATATTTGAATACTTGATTTAAATTTCATCAAATAGAATCAATAGAATCAAAAATTAATTTGAATTTGATCAAATAAATCATTTTTTGATTTGAATTTGATCAAATCGTATCAAATATAAATTTGTATTTATATTTAATTTGATTTTTAAATTGAATTTTCAAATATCAAATTGAATTGCAGAACCTTAATTATATCAATTATGTTAAAAATGTCAGAAATATCATATATATCTAATATGTAAATCAATTTTATAAAATATACTAATCATTTATTATGTTACATTTTCTTATTTTATAATAATTCTGCTACAATATATCTCTTTTAATATTACTTATTCTTTTTATAACTAAGAGTTACATCATTAGCATTAGCAGCATAAAGAAAAGTTTGTTATATATTTATTTCTCATATATTAAATTGATAATTTTTAGAATATATATTTTATAATTTATTATGAAGTTCAATTAAAAAACATTCTTATTCATCTTATTTTATAAATAAATAATATTAATTAAAATTTGTAATTGTTCTTCATTTTAAATAAAAATAAAAAGTTATTTTATAATAAAAATAATTTTTTATTCTTATAGTAAATATATTGTTTTTTATTTAAAAATTATGTTATAATTATTAATGTTAAATAGCTGATTTCTATTGAATTTTTTTATCATTTCTAAATTTTTCCATATATTAGAACTTTTTACTTATATATGATTTTAAGATTTTATTCTTAGTATATTTTAAGAACATATAAGATTCTTCAATTTTAAAAATAATAATACCTATTTATTTCTATTAAATTTATGAAGTAATAAAGATTTATATTCTGAATCTGTATTAAATCAATCTATATATTGAATATCCCATCTCATATACAAATATTTTTAAATTTTCAAGTAAAAAGAAATGAGATATAAAAGGAATAATTTTACTTATTTATTTATTATATTTTCATCAGTCCATTCCATTATTAATGAACTGCTTTTATTATAATAAACTTCAGAAATAGCATTGGTTAGATCGTTTGCAATTTTACAATATCATTATATATATACACACACATACCTGGTAAATTGTTATTATTATCTTTAAATTGAGAATTGCTTTAAATACCATATACCTATGCGACCTTATTACAAACCGGTTTAAACTTGTTAATGTCCCGATTAGTATTTCGACATGGTTATGCTGTATAATATTTAATTATCATCAAACCCTGGATCTATTACTGTGTTAAGATTATAGTAGAAACCGATCGGTAGCCGACAATGGTTCGTTTTAAAAATTTAATAATCATAGTATTTTAATTTATTTTGATACACAATATAGAATAATACAATGTTATAAAAATTAATATTAAAAATAGAATAAACTGTTTTTCGGTACTAATGAAATCAAGAAATCGAATTAGAAGTGCAGCTTTAACGATTCTACATTTTGGTTACATTAAGATTAAGTTATGATTTTATTAAAGCAATTTTTCGCATTAAATATAAAAATCTAAAAATCAGACCTTAAGATAGAAAACTACTTAAAAATAAAATTGTAAAATAACTTACTAGTGAGTGTATATAAAAACTTCGTATTTTGTAAATGTGGTTTTGGGGTACAAAAATATTTGAGAAAGAAGAAGCTGAGTATCTAAAAAAAAGTGTTATTATATTATAGCCTGATCAAAGGACTATCTATCAGATTACTTGCAATGACAAAGTTGATAAGAATTATGTGATAAAAGCTGCCATAAATCATACCTTCCGTAATAATATTTCGGAAGAACTTGGTCATAGATTATTTTTGAAGTAGTTAACAGCAAATTTATTAAGTTTTGAGGTTCACTTAATTTTTTACATGTTCATTAAATTCAATGCTATACTATAAAAAATATTTATACATGAAACTTGCTAAGAAAATGATGCCATATATTATATTTATACACTAATATTGATCTATCATGTCCAAAATTGAATAAAAGAATGAATCTTCTCTCTACTAATTAATATTAATCAAGATTTATGAACTTAACTCTCATTTTTCCCAATTACACATGCGGTTAACTGAGATGTTTCTCCGGAGATTCAAGAATGCAAATTTATTTTTCAACTTGAGAAGTCATGTTTTATTTTGATGTTCTTGATTCTTATAATTGTCTCACGAATGGGAAAGGAAAGACAAAACTAGGTCTGATTATGTTCCATTGAGTAGGACAGTATTTCTTGGTTAACGGTGGTCGAATACTTGATCTAGCACATTATGGTACCGATGAACGAGTAACGATTTCAAACAAGAACGATATTTAAACATTCTGTGCATTATGTCGCTAAATTCTTCTCGGAAAAAAAAAAGGCAAAGAATCACACACTAGCTTTGGAGAAATGACGTAAAAGTAATGTAGGGATAATTAAGGGGGATTGATAAACATGGTAGCTCCAATAGATCAAACGATCCTTCGAACGTTCCAAATCCGTTGGTAGTTTTTTTAAAAAAAAAATATGAAAGCATGTATTTTTTTACATATGGGACCTTTGCAACAGTAAAGGGGGGAAAATCCATTTTACTTTTACTTTTATATGACAAATATGATTTTCAGGTCTGATTTAGCATTGACTCATTTTTTATTTTTCCCAGACCCCTTTCTATTGCAAATGTCACATATATTTGCCGGCATTTGTCTGCGGTCAAAAGATTTTTTGTGCATTTTACCAAAATAACAAACCATTTACCGTAATAACATTTTTACTTTGTATAACATTGAGAACTAAATTTAGAATTCAAAAACGTCATAGAATTAGGGGGTTAAATCATGTGATTCCTTAGCACAATGTTCTAAAATTCTAAAATAGTAATTTCCCCCCTGACCAAGTGATTTAAAAAGGTAAAGATCTTGTGACTCCCTGATCAACAGAATTCAATAAATAAGGTACCTCCCCAAAGTTTTTTTCACTTTTAAGCATTCATTAATTAACTAACCCTTTGGATTAATTTTCCGTTTTGTAAACGACGACCTTAAAGTAAAAAATAAATCCTCTTATACACTTCACGCATCATGACGACAACAAGGAAAAATTCTCTGATATATTCACCTGGAGGTGAAATTTTTCGACGAATTTCAACTAGTTCTCGTGGTGCTGGAGTGGCTGACGCTATAGCTCAAGCTACTTTTAATGAAAAAAAGTGGGTCTGGGTTGAGGATAAAGAAGCGGGATATGTCGCCGGTTACATAACGAAGGAAATGGGCGAACAAGTGGAAATCCACTTTAATGATAATTTGGTAAGACTTAATTTTATAAAAATATAATTTTTATAACTGATTTTTCTTAAAGAGAGTATATTAACTTCACATTTATCACAATTATTTAAGTCTCGCATTGTTAATGTGAGCGAAACAGAAAAAATGAATCCACCTAAATTTGATAAAGTGGAAGATATGGCCGACTTAACTCATCTAAATGAAGCATCCGTAATTCATAACCTCCGGTTGCGGTATTTGTCAAATATGATATATGTAGGTTATTGTTATTATATAATTTTTAATAAGTCAATTTATTTTTTTACTTATCTATGCTTTCAATTGTTCAACAGACATATTCAGGACTTTTTTTGGTAGCAGTCAATCCTTATCACCCGCTTCCAATATACACGGATCAAATAATTCGATCTTATAAAAATAAACGACGGCATGAAATGCCTCCTCATATTTATTCAATTTCCGATGCAGCTTATCATGATATGTTACAAGAACGCGAAAATCAATCTATTCTTATCACGTAAATATCCTTCTTTAATGATTTTGGTCTTTATCAATATTATTTTTATTTAATTTTAATTTATCTTGTAGTGGTGAATCAGGCGCAGGAAAAACCGAAAATACTAAAAAAGTTATTCAATATATAGCTACAATAGCTAGTGAAAATGTTAACACCAAGAAATACGGTAGACTTGAACAACAAATCCTTCAAGCCAATCCAATATTAGAATCCTTTGGAAATGCTCAAACAATCCGAAATAATAATTCTTCTCGTTTTGTAAGTTCTCAAATTTTCTTTTAAACGGTTTATCAAGTTCAATTAATTTATTATTTCTTAATAGGGTAAATTTATTCGCATTGAATTCAATTCTGGCGGCCAAATTTCTGGTGCGAATATCGAACGATATTTGTTGGAAAAATCGCGTGTTACTTTTCAGACGGCCGAGGAACGAAATTTTCATATATTTTATCAGCTATTGAGAGGAGCTTCACCCACGATTAAAAGTGAGCTTAAACTTTATAATAATTATAATATACTTGTAAAATATTTACATCTCTCTTTTTTATTAGATAAATTTCTCTTGGATGGTTCGCTGGATGATTATAAGTTCATAAAACATTCTGCGAAAGATATTAATGGTGTGAACGACGCTGCTGAATTCGAAACGCTTGTGGTTCGTATAATATTTATATTTTGATAATCACTACCTTAAATAGTTTTTATTGTTCTTATTAATTTATTTATTTTTTTTGTTAGGGCGCTATGGATGTTGTCGGCATTTCACAAGATGAGCAAGTTGATCTTTTCCGTATAATAGCTTCAATTCTTCATCTTGGAAATATTGAAGTTACTTCTGGACGAGATGATCAAGCACATATTATGGATATTTCTGTAGCAGAAAAAGTTTGTCATGTACTGGGCATCCCTGTAGATGCTTTTATTAAAGGACTTATTAAGCCTCAAGTAAAGGCAGGCCGTGAGTGGGTTGCTCAAGCTAGAACCAAGGAACAAGTTTTATATTCAATCGAAGCTTTGGCAAAAGCTTTATATGAGAAAAATTTTGGTGCATTAGTCGAAAGAATTAATAAAGCGATTGACACACCTTCAAATAAGGCTTATTTTATCGGTGTTCTAGATATTGCCGGTTTTGAAATTTTTCAGGTTTGTTTTTTATTTATATTTTTTATCAATTTATATTTTTTTTTAAATTTTAAAATTAAAGATGTAATTTATTTGTTCAGACAAATGGATTTGAACAATTATGTATCAATTATACCAACGAAAAACTTCAGCAATTTTTCAATCAACATATGTTTGTATTGGAACAGGAACAATACAAAACCGAAAAAATTGAATGGGATTTTATTGATTTTGGTTTGGACTTACAACCAACAATTGATTTAATCGAAAAAGTTAAAGTATGTTCAAAAGAGTTTTTTTTTTCACTTCACAAAATAACATTTATTAATTTGTTAAATACTTTCAGCCTGTTGGTATATTGGCTTGTCTGGATGAGGAATGTGTTATGCCTAAGGCTTCAGATAAAACATTTGTTGAGAAATTGAACATCATTTGGAAGGACAAATCACCTAATTATAGTGTTCCGCGATTTCAACAAGGGTTCATTCTAAATCATTATGCTGCAAAAGTGGAATATACAACGTCTGGTTGGCTTGATAAGAATAAAGACCCTCTTAATGAGAATGTTACAAAACTTTTAGCGCATTCTTCACAACCATATATAGCATCACTCTTTTCTGATTTCCTTGGTGATACTACGGATTATGGCACAAAGAATCGTGCCAAACGTGGAGCTTTTCGTACCGTAGGTCGTCGACATAAGGAGCAGTTGCATTTATTAATGCAACAACTTTATTCGACACATCCTCATTTTGTTCGTTGTATTATTCCTAACGAGGAAAAACTGGCAGGAAAGATTCATGTACCACTTGTTCTTGATCAATTAAGGTGTAATGGTGTTCTGGAAGGAATCCGTATATGTCGTGTTGGATTTCCTAACCGATTAGGTTTTGTTGAATTTAGGCAAAGATATGAAATTTTAGCTCCAGGAATTCTTCCGGAAGGTTATATTAATGGAAGAGATGCTGTACAGAAATTGTTAGAAGTTTTTCAACTTGAGAATGATCAATATCGTCTTGGTTTAAGTAAAGTTTTTTTCCGTGCTGGTATGGTATGTATCATTCATTTTTTAAAGTATATTTTAATTTAAGTGTAGTTATTTAACTATATTCATATTAATTAGTTGGCTGAATTGGAGGAAATACGAGACGCAAAATTATCCCTCGTGTTTACAGGATTTCAAGCACATTGCCGGGGAAAACTTTCACGCAAGGATTACAGAATTCTTTCAAAAAAAACTCAAGCCGCTCTTGTTATTCAAAGGAACGTACGAGCCATTAACAGTCTTAAACAAAATAATTGGTGGAAGCTTTATTACCAAATTAGACCAATGTTACCAAGTAGAAAAGATGAACAAATTAGATTATTAAAAGAACGCATAAAAGAATTGGAAGAAAATCTGCAATATGAAATACAAGAGAGACAACGAATGGAATCAATTAATACACAATTGAGTGCTGAAATGGCGACTCTAGAAGGACTTTTTCATCATGAAAGGTCTCTTTCACTTGAGAAGGATGAATTGATGCGAAAATTTAAATTTACAGAAGAACCTGAAGATATTGATAATGAATCTAACTATACCAAAACAAATGATCAAATAATTGAACTTGAACAAACCAATCAATTGTTGCAAGAGGAACTTGAAGAAATGAAAAATAGATATGAGAATGAAGTTCAAGAGAGAAAGAAAGATAAGGTTAAGTTAGATAATATAGCATCTAAACTTGACGCAGCACAACTTTTCAGAATCAAATCAGAAACTATTGAAGGATCAATGAAGCATCAGATTGGTAAACTTGAAATTTCATTAAAAGATATTACTAATGAGTTAAATATTTCCCAAGAAAAGGTTCAATCTCTTAAGATGCATATTAAAGAATTGGAAGCAAAGGCTGAAAGTGATGCTATGGAAATTGCAGATTTTGGATTATTTCAACAAAGGATACAGGAAAATTTTCAAGAAGAAAGAGAAAAATATAGGAAAGAGATTGAAGATGTACAATATGCGCTTGAGCAAGTTAGGAAAAAATATGAAGTTGAAACGGATAAACTTAATGAGGAAATTGAATCGGATAGAGTTAATATGCTAAATCTTCAAGAAGAGAATAAAACATTATCTTTGGAACTTAGAGATTTATTAACAAATAATTCCAAGAATTATCCGATATTAATTGGAAGTGAACGAGAAAGATTGGAAGCGCAAATTTCCGAATTAAGTCAATTAAATAATGATTTATCAGCTTCTAATGATGAACTTCAAACACAAATTAATAATTTATTATCTGAAATGAGCCAATTGAGAACTACATTGGAAGAGACTGAATCACATAAAATATTGTTGGAAAAATTGAAAAAGAATCTTGAAGACAGACTTGATGAAATTCATGAACAATATCATGACGCTAGTCAAATTAAACGCGTAGCAGAGAAAAATTTATCAACTTTAGATAAAGAAGTTTTTGATCTGAAACAATTGGTTGAAGAACATCAAGATACTGCTAATGTCTTAAATGAGAAATTGAGAAAAGCTGAAGCCAGTTTGGTTGATTTTCAAACTGAACTTGCAAAAGAAAAAGAAGAGAATCAAGAATTAACCAAGTCAAAGGTAAAGTATTATTTAGTTATAAGAAAGTTAAATGATTATTATTATTATTTTTTGAAATTCAAGTTTAAATGAACGTGTTATCTATTTATTATAGATGATACTGGAAAAACAGGTTACTGAATTGAATGTTAGAATAACAGAATTCGAAAGTAGATTATTGACTTCACCAAAAAATTTAAAAAGACTTGAAACAAGACTTGAAGAATTAACGCTAGCATTAAATAATGAAACAAACGAAAAGAATGAAAATTTAGGCAATTTGCGTAAAGCCAATAGAACAATACGTGAATTACAATATCAGCTTGCTGAACATGATAAATTAAAATTAAGATTTGAACAAGAAATTTGCAAATATGAACAGAAGGTTGGAAAAATGAGAGAAGTAATTGAAGAATTTGTAAATTTTGTCCAATTATGTTTGACAAATTTTTTTTTTTATCATTTCAAAAATAACTAATTAATTTTTTTTATTTTATAATAGCAAAGCTCTGAAAGTTCTTTACAATTGGGTAAGAGACGTGCAGAACGAGAAGTTCAAGAAGCAAAAGAAAGAATCCTTAGGTAATGAATATAATGTATTTTAATTTGTGTATTTCATACAATTATTAATTATTAATTATAATATGTATAATTTATAATGGAAGACTTGAAAAAGAACTTGAGAAAACGAAATCACGTCTTGGAAGAAGAAATTCTATTACTTCTATATATTCATCTGCATCATCTGCATCATCTAATTAATCTACTATAGTTTTTTTTTGTGTAATTATAATTAATAATGTACTTTAATTTTTCTTGTATAATTTTTTTTGTAACTAATACTGTAGGATTTATATAATTTCTTATGTATATTATTTTATTCTCAAAGAATATATGATTTAATTTTTAATTGTATGTTGAAAAATATATGTAGCGTGTATTTAAATTATAAATTTATAAATTATATAAAAGCAATAATAAATATGTATATTTCATATACTTGATATTAAATTTAATAAAGTATTTTATTTTTATATATTTTTAAAATCTTACGGAATGTTTGATCACATGTAAACAGATCGACAATCCGCAGAACTAAAAATAAATTTGCCGATCTTTCCTATTAATATTATATATTCTTTAAATTTTTTATTTAAATTATTTAAATTTAAAAACATTATTTTTAAATAGAATTTTATTTAACATTAAATCAGAACAAATTTTTTTATCATTCTTTAGAATGGTCTTATATCATTCTATCTAAATGATTCTTTTATCATTTCTTTAATGTAAGGAAAAATATATATATAAAATTATATTTTAATACATACAAATATTCAAAAAAATTAATTTTTTTTTTTGAATTTTATATTTCCTTAAGATAAGAATTAAAATTACTGTTTTTTTTTATTATAAAGAAAATGAAGTTATTTATTTTTAGATACTGATTCTCTATTTAATCAATAAGATTAAATTATACTATTTTTAAATATTATTTTTTTTAATATTTTTTTAAATTAGTCATCTTAAGTTTTACTATGCAAATCAATCTTTATTTATAATTGAAACCTCATTTTTTATTTTCAGAATAATATCTGTTCTTTTTACTACAAAACGTTTATATCTTTTAAAAAATTACTATGTGATTAAAAGTAATATTTAAATAAGTTTAATCATAATTATGATTTTTAGTAATTGTAGAGATTTTAATAGTTGCAGATTTATTTTTAACTACAAATATCATAATATAATATTAATAAAATTTAATTAATAATTTATAATCTAAAAAAAACTTTATTAAAAAATTTTAAAGATAAAATATATATATATAATATTAATAAATTTATATTCTAATTATAAATTTAAATTTAAAAATTATATATTTTTATTTTGATTAAAATTAATAGATTAATAAATTATTAATATTAATAATATTTAATTATAAAATAAAGTTTATATAAATACTATATAAATAAAGATAAATTTATAACTATTAGATTACTATCAATTGCAAAAATCTTAAATATAAAAATTATATATAAAGTTTGCAATTAGTTGTTTTTAGATTACAACCTAAAATACAACTAATAGAAGATTTTTAAATTATAAATTTAAGAAAAATAATTTAATTTAAAAATTTTTTTTATTACTTAATAAAAATATATATAATAAATATATTTTTTATATTTACTTTATTTAAATTATAATATAATAATAATAAGTTTATAAGTATTATAATTAATATTTATAAATATTATATTAAAGTTAAAACTTTTTTTTTAATTAATATTTATTATTTTATAAATTAAAAATATAACCTTTTATTAAAAAATATTAATAATTAAATATTAATTATATTTAATTTGATAAATTAAAATATAATATAATTTATTATATTAACTTAATATCATAATTATTATTAGATCAATTACTAATTATAATTAATATTATCATGCTTACCCATATGATGTAGACAATCTTGTTTTTTGATATTTTATTGATATCAAAAATAAGCTATAAATTAAGTTTTTTATATCAGAATAAGCTACATTAATATATTTTAATAAAAATATACATATTATTATTTTTATACTTTTGTAAATTATTAGTATTATTAAATATAAATAAGCATATGGGAATATTTCCAGTAAAATCAAGTCATGAACATAGTAAATCATATGATCCGTAATGTGATTTTACTGAAAACGCTCCCATATATTACTGCTTTTTAGATCTTAAGTATTATTTAATTCCAGAAATGGATGATGAAATCAATCTTAATATTATTAAACTTAATGTTTTAGTATCAAATCATTGTATTTATCTATTTTTTTTAAAAAAAAAATTTTGCTAAATATAATAAAGAAACATATAATTTGTAATTTATTAATAAATGTTTAATCCATCTAGAAATGTTGTAAATATTTAGATAAAATGTAATAAAGGATTTGGAGTTAATATATTGACCAAGAAATTGTTGATGCTATTTAACATAATATAATTGAATTAATGCTTTAAAATTTAATAAATTCTAAAATAAATGAAATATTAACATACCTGCTTCAAATGTTATTAGATGTTTAAGTCAACATCATAAAATCACATAATAACTTATAATTATAATTAAAGTATTATTGTAACTGATTTAAATAATTTGCAATTGGTTGCAATTTTTTAAATTGCAATTAGTTGTAAATTATTATATAATAATTCTTAAAATTAAGATTTTATAATTAGTTTCCACCTAACGTTAAGTTACAATATAATTAATAAACTTTTTATTAAAAAAATAGATTTGTTAAAAGAATTTGACTTTTTAATATTTTATTTAAATAAATATAAAATTATTATATTTTTTAATATATTTTAATTTAATAAATTCAAATAAAGTTAAATATAATTTTAGTAATTAAGTAAAATTATTTTGTTATTTATAAAAAATTGGTTTTATCATATTAGTTTTATCAGTTTCATCATATTAAAAAGATAGTTTTGACAAGTATCACTAGTTATAATCTAAATAGTTGTAACCTATAATTGTAAATCTATCTTAAATTTTTTTTTTTCAAATTCTATCATTTTAAATACAAATTCTGCTATTTTAAATTCCACTCTATTATATTTTTTTAAAATTCAAACTCTATTATTTCAAACTTCATCCTATTATATTTTTCAAACTCTACTATTTTAAATTTATTTTAATTATAATATTAAGAAATAAAAACTTTTAGTTAATTTAAAGTGAAAATTTCTTTTTATTTTGAATAAAATTTACAAAAATGAATTTGTATAATAATTATAAATAGTTTGATAATAAAGTATATTCTAACAAGCAAATAGATAGAACTTGACAAACTTAACAATAATAGTAACTAAACATATCACATATCAAACATAATAAATAAAATTGATATAAATGTCAGTCTTATAATCAGTAAAAATTTATATAAAATTTTATTACTTTTTTTTGATTTTATACATAATATAACTGTATAATTTATAACTATTTTGAAATTTATATCTTATATAAAATTTATTCACTTTACAAAAACATTATTATAAATATTAAAAGTTGATAAATTAAGTATTTTAAGAAGATTTTTTCAAACATATTATCTATTATATATTATTTTTAATATATAAAGATATAATAGACAGATTTAATATAAAAAATATATTATACTAATTTAAGATTTTATTTAAAAATATTCTTTATAAGACAACTAAATAAAATAATAATACATTTTGTATAATATTTATATGTTTACAGTATATACATATTTAATGAATTTGTATTATAATTTCATATATTTTATAATGATTTATTTTTTTATAATTTTTAGAAAATTGATTTATATGACATTATTAAAAATTTAAAAAATGTAAAAATTTTATGTTAAATAAAAAAAAAAAACAACAAAATAATAATATTATATTCTATCTAATTAAATTTTTTTAATACATTTTTTTATATTAAGAATTAAATTTTATAAGATAATAAATTTTCTTAAGTTTTTCTTTTAAAACTTAAACTTAATAAAGTAAATACAACACTAATAAAACTTATGTTTTGTATTATCAATAAAATCAGAAATTGTAAAAAGTATATAAATATTTTTTATAATCTTAATATATGCTTCTATCAAAGTTAAGTTAAGCTTAATAAAATCTATTAATAAAGTATGATTAAATTTGTAATTAAATTAACATTAAAAGTCTTAAGTCATTTTATAAACTAATCATTAAATAATTGAAAAAGAAGAGCTATATAAGAATTTATATTTATAAAATTAAAGAATCATTAATAAATAGTAAATTATATATTTTATAATGATTTAGATTTATATTATATACAAGAATTATACTTGCTGTAGGTATTATAATAATAAGATTTATAATTATATAGGCAATATTATTAGTTAAAGTGATAATTAATATTTGTAAATTATAGATATTATGATAATTGTTAATATTGCATTTGTTTGATACTTTAAAAAAAACTCTTATAATATTATTCTTATGAATAGAAAATATAATATTGATTTTCTCTTGATATTATTATTAAATATAATTCTTTTTATACATATTAGTTTAAGTTATTTATTATGATAAGTAAATTTCTTATTATCATATTTTATAATCTTAGGCAATTTTATATTATACTTTATCTAGAATTTCTTAAAATTACTTCACTTAAATATTCAAATTTAAGGGTTTTGAAACTTAAATAATTTATTTATTCTTATTGATAAACTCAAAAGTAAGTTTAGTATAATAACTTACAATTAAATTCTAGATAAAAAACATATAAAAAAAAATATTAAAAATAAATATTCAAAATATTTGATAATGGTAAACTTATATCTAATATATTAAATACCAGTGTGTAAAATCTATGTGCACAATGTGCACATGTGCACATTAATTTTTTGTGTGCACATATTACACAACATAA